TAAAAGGGAGCTGGAGCTGCCTTTGCAGAGAAACTGCCTTGCTGTCTTGAACCTCGGCCTGGGCCAAAATGACAAGTGTTTTACAAGCATTCATTTGAGAAGTCAGCAGGAGAACGGATATCCTGATTACAAAGACTGAGGATTGTGGATCTTCTGAAGATAGAATCAATAATCAATCAATGTTTAGCCAACTCTAGCTTTCTGCCTCCAACTCCAATTAAAATTCTTTTAATACAACCTCCCTTCTCTGCCTTTACAAGCCCCTGACTTTTTTTTTTTTTTTTTTTGGTGAGGAGATCAGCCCTGAGCTAACATCTGACGCCAATCCTCCTCTTTTTGCTGAGGAAGATTGGCCCTGGGCTAACATCCATGCCCATCTTCCTCTACTTTATATGTGGGACACCTGCCACAGCATGGCTTGATAAGTGCTGGGTAGGTCTGCACCCGGGAACAGAATCTGCGAACCCTGGGCCTCTGAAGCAGAGTGCATGAACTTAACCACTATGCCACCAGGCCAGCCTCAAAAGCCCCTTTTACTCCCTAGTGGGACACCATTTGGATTTCTACCTGAATCTGTGCTCCCTGAATTGCAATTCTTAGATCCCCACATAAACGCTTTGCCTCTTAAACTGGTTTCTGTTTTTGCAGGTTGACAACACATTTCTGATGGGAAGATAAAATGGTTTTATCTTTGGAAAACAGTTTAGCAGTTCTTGAAAAGGTTAAACATAGAGTTACATGTGAACCAGCAATTTCATTCCTAGGTGTATATACCGAAGAGAAATGAAAACATATGTCCACACAAAAACTTGTACACAAATGTTTATTAGAGGCATTATTCAAGTGGAAACATTATTCATGTTTTCCATTAAGTGAAAACAACATTCATGTTTTCCATTAAGTGAAAACAACCTAAATGTCCATCAACAATGAATGGATAAATAAAATGTGTATATCCATACAATAGACTATCATTTGTCAGTGAACGGAGTGGTTGCTGGGGGCTGGGAGAAGGGGAGGAGTGAATGACTGCTAATGCATATGGGGCTTCTTTTTGGGGTGATGAAAATGTTCTAAAATTAGATCAGGGTGATGGTTGTACAACTCTCTAACTATGCTAAAAATCATTGAATTGTACATTTTAAATTAGAGAATTTTATGGTATGTATATTATATCTATTATACTAAAAAAATCTTTTTTTAAAAAAAATAATCTGCTCTGGGGCAAGCTTTTGGTTACAATTTCTCAGGACAGCTTTTCCCCTGCTATGATATGCTCAGCAACTTTCGTTGTCATGTCCTGGGGGTGGGGTTGGGGGGCGGGGGCAGGTTTGCTCCCGTCTCCTCCTTCCCTGCAGCATGTAGCCCTTTGGATGTTCCAATTCATGAGGTCTGCTGTTGACTCCCGATCCGGGTGGGTTCTGGTAGTTCACTACTGCCCTCTTCACCAGAAGAAGTCATCAAACCTGAAGCTCAAAGTTGTATGGATTGGAAAAAGTAGCCGTGGTACTTAGCTCATCCCACTTTCTTTTAGATTTTGATCTGGAGACTTTTTTTCTATCTCATGAGCTCTTTGAAGCATTCAAGACGTTTTGTATTTTTTTCCAATATTTATAGTTCTTTTCACCTGATGAGTTGGTTCAGCTAAACCAGCTTGTCATATTCCTGGAAACCAATAATGAGTTTAAATCCCTTAATTGTTTTAAATTCATGGTCATTAACTTCAAGGGGGCATAAGGGCTGCCTGGTAGTACTGGTCCACTTCTCTGATTCATTCTCCCACCCTTCTAGAAGACTCTCACACCTTTCTTTTTTCCTACTTTCTTCAGATCTCTTTTCACATTACACCTTGTGAGAGAGACCTTGCTGGAAAACCCTGTAAGAAGTAACACCTGCCGCCTATCACATTCTGGCTCCCTTATTGTGTAATTGTGTTACTACACTTCATAATAGTAATCACCACCTAAGATATTAGGCTTTTAGATGTTGATGAGTTGTGTCGGTCTTCTACCAGAAATATAAGCTCCCTAAGAGCAGGAATTTGCCTGTTTTGTTCGCTGATTATCCCCAGTGCTTAAAGAGTACCCGGTAAAAAATAAATACATGACAAATACTTAATTTCAGAACACGTTGCTGTACATTTTAGATCAAATCTCTGTCTTTGGAAAATCTGTCTGCTGTCAGAATGTTAGTGGGCTTCCACTTATCATCATCACGAGTGAAAATTTATGTTCCAAGATCTATGTGGGTGTAGCTATTATTACGGTGAAGAAAAATTCCATGTGCTTCTCTTTCTGTAAGCACCACACTGACAGTCAGTGATGTGCCCTGGGGAGATTTCTGTTTGCACAGGGTCTCATTATTATTCCTGTTTCAAACGACTGTTTCATAAAATGCTATTGCCTCTGTGCATAACTGAGGATCAAATGTTTATGTTCTGCGTCAGGTTAGGTTGCGTGGCGGGCAGGGGTCTAATGATGCCACAATGGGTGGTGGCATGGGGGTGGCTGTGGAATCTGTGCTGATGATCAGGGTCTCACTGCTGCCTGGATGACCTTGCGCGTGTCATTTCCACCGGAAGACTGTCCCCTAACGGAGATAATGATTTAGACATGATATTGAGTTGAACTTGGTGCGGTAGATTGAAATCAGTGACTCCAGCTGTCTGACGCCTCCCTGTGTCCACATCCTTCACCAGTGCCTTCCCTACTTTGCTTTGTGCACTGGGACAGGAATACGCTGACTCAAGCAGAGGTGTGACAATGTGCTTGTGTGTTTCCACTTCCGCTCTCTTGGACTCCACCTCTGCCATGGGAACATGCACCGGCTAGCCTGCTGGAGGGATGTGGGAGCCGCACAGAGAAGACTCATCCCAGCAGAGGCCATCCTAGACCAGCCAGCCCCCAACAAGCTTGTCAGGGGCAGCAGATGGCTGAGTGAGCCCAGCTGAGGGTCGCCAAGTCCAGCCCAGATCAGCAGAACTGTCCAAGCAGCCTGTGGACTGGTGAGGAATAATAAATGAATTGTGGCTGTTTTAAGCCATTAAGGATTAGTTTGTTATGCTGCAATAGTGAATTGCTAGATGGTGTAAGCAGAAAATAATCTTTGCCACCTGCTCTGTGGATTATTTCTGGCTCCTGGGTAAATTTCTCAAGTTTGGGGGAGGGCTAGAGAGAGTTCCTGTTCATATTCAGGTTCAATTTCAAATAAGAGAAGACCACCAGTTACTTTCAAGCATAAGAACCATCTCTGTTCAGTAATTAAAATGTCCAGTCTGGTGTAACCATCAAAATGTCAAACTTTATCAAAGGTAAAAGCTTCTCCCCTCTCCCGGCTGAGAACAGTGGTGGGGAGGTGGATGTGAGTAGAGTCTCTGTCTCCTTGCTTGGCCTCCTGCCCCGGCTCATCAGGGAGGCGGAGCTGGAGGGAAACACAAAGATGTCAGGGCAGGTGCAAATCCATTCCCACACCAGCGCTTGGTGGCTTTGGTGGCTTTTCAAACCTGGGTCACTCTCTCTGGAATCCTTCTGTGTGCGTCTTAGCCCTCTTCCACCAGGAACCTCCAATACAATCCCTATAATGTGTGCAATGCCTTCCATTCCTTAAAATACCTTTTCATACATAACATGTGCAGAAAAGTAATCAAATCATATCATAAGCTTTTGACACATTTTCACAAGGTGAACACATTGTATGGTCACCCCCTAGATCAAGAATTTAACACTATGGTGGTCCCAGAAGCCCCTTCCTCTTCTCTCTGTTATTACCCACCCTCATCCCAGATTCTAACTTCTAACCCACAGATAAATAATTGAAATTGTTTTCTTTGATAAACCTGGTTGGCCTTTTCAAGGACAGAATGCCGTCTGCTAGTTCTCAAATAATCAGTTTACCCCAAAATATGCAAACAAAATTCACTGTTCCCAGACTGATGAATCTTGTTGCCTTTTTTCCTTGACTCAGTCCCCCCCCACTCACATGTGAGCCAACAAATGATACACAAAGTCACCTAACATTGAGCAAAGGAATATCTCTGAGTTCGTCTTTGACAAATAACTACTCCTGGATAGCTTACGAAATAACATACTAAATATAGTGGTAAAGGGCTCTAAAATATAACTACTTTTTTAACCATAAAGATGAATAATTCTTTGTGAATCCAGTGACATATAGTTCTTATGTTTCTTTAAAATTCCCAAGCATTTAGGGAAATTTAAATTCATTTCTTATATAATAGGAGATCAATAAACTATTCTCTAACATTTCTACTTAGACCAGAAATCATGCTAAGCATGAATTGTTAAATTCCTTTTAACTATTATAACCAGTTACATTAAAATGGATCTGGTTTAACAATGATCTATTCTTAGTTTCAACATTTTTTAGGATTTTGCTACAAAGAGAGGAATAAAAAGTGACTCAAAGCAGGATATCCTCATTTGTTGCAGACATTGTGGGATTTGAAATTCAACCTCGCTTTCAGAGAGCTGCGGCGGTGAACCAAAGCAAGTTGGAATGGTTTAACGGATCAGTGAGTGCGTCTAACAGTGCTGTCAAATCGAGGTTCCTTCTGCTCCTCACTGCCTGAGGGGAACTTTCTACAAATTCTCTTTTGATTGGGGCACCACCGAGAGGAAGAAAAATATTACCATTGGCCTTTTACTGCTAGTACCAGTTTGTATTCTTCAGACTTTATCTTTCTCTGGAGACTTATCCGTTTCTTTACTCCCAACAAGATTTCTCAAATTTCTCTTTAAGTCCCCAAAGAGAAATACTTTTTGAAGCCCCAAAGAAGAGCAACAGAGGCAAAAATTATTCTCCAAATCAGTTTATGTGTTTCATCAAAACCAACTCCTTGAAATACATATAAACATAAAATAGACAAGGCTACATCTATTATGTACATAAAATCTTTCTTATCAATATAAAAGCTTTAGCATTTAATATATTTTTAAGAATGAAAATCTATATTTTCTCATGTCCTGTTCAAATAAATAATCTTACATATTAGCATTGCTCTCCCTGAAATAAACATTTTCAGAGCTTTGGGGTACATCTGATATGTGAATCACAAATTTTTGTCCATCTTTCAGGGTAATGAGGGCCTCTTGTCCCACAGGAAGGCTGAGTGTGACGGTGCTCTCGGTGGCCCTGTCTTCCAACAGTACCTGGATGAGCTGCAAGGGAGAAATGTTTAAAAGGAAAAGATAAAAAGAGAAAGCTGTACTATTCCCTGTTGCGGGGCCCACAGTATGAATTCTTCTCATTCTTCAGTTCTGAGCTGACATCGCTGGCTCACATTCTCACCGAGACCCTCCCTCCACCATCCATCAAACAAACCAGTAGACAAGAAGGGAAAATCTGTGAAAACAGTCATTGATATTGAGTAGTAATAAATTTGAGAGATTCACAGATTCTGATGTTAGCTTCGGTGCCAGCTCTCAGGTAAGTCATCTGACTTGCCTGAGCAAGTCTTCCTATCAGAGAAACAAGGATAATATGCCATCCCTGCCTTAGCTCCAAGGGTACTTGGGAGATTGGCAAATCCTTGGACATGATTACTTTCAAACTGATAGAGATATATTTTCTTGGTCTGATTTCATCAACCCCCCCCAACGCCGCCCAAAAAGCTAATATATTTTGACAAAGATGTGCACAAGATAACCTCGAATGCAAGATTAACTGAAGCCCATTTCTCACCCTTTCTCACCAATTTTGATAATAACCATCACTACCCTATGAAAACCCAATGTTTTTCTTCTCTCAAAAAAACTGTCTTCACCTTTATCCTAAAGCTGGAGTCATTTATTTTTTAGTCATTTTGCTATGCTTTAATCCTTGAGTACATGATCTAAAGTGAAAACCGCATAGTATATTTTTTAAAAGAATATTCTTTAATATCAGTATGATTTTTTACTTTATTCCTAAACATGCTTTGGCATCTTACTAGATGCTGGAACGTAGGAGAGCGACAGATGGATGTGGCAATCCAGAATGCTGACCTCAGTTGTTATCGTAGGTGCTGGGCGGCGCTAAATTGTTCAGAGAAGGAGGCTGACACAGATGTGCAGCTGAATGGGGCATTAACTTGGAGCAGATGAATGCAGATGGGACACAGAAGGGGGGCTGTTTTGTTGATGATGCGTGCAAATGCTGAATAATGAATGCAATGAGAATTAGATGAGCGTCACTTTTCGGTGTTAGATTGTTGAAGCCGTTATAGCTAATTCAGCAGGCATGCACCAACAGAGGCAGGTTTAGCTAATCTCAAATGCATATTACCTTGGATCATCTGACATTCATCTGCTTGTATTGCTTTATTATGTAGTTCAATTAAGTATTTAATATCTTCTCTATTGTTTCCACCAATTAAATATAGGTCAAGCCCCATTACAATGAACTTCAGAGTTGCGAGAGGCTTGGGTAGAGTTTGTGGAAAAGTGCTTAGATTAGGAGGTTTTGTTGGAGAAATAATAACACTGACTGGTGGTTATGGGTACTTACTATGTTGTAAGAATTTTACAATGATTAACTTATTTAAACCTCATAACAGCCCTATGAAATTAGAGGTTATTATTCTCGTTTTGTAGATAAGGAAACTGAGGAACAGATAAATTGAGCAACTTGCCCAAGGTTCTCAGCTAATAAGTGGAAGGTGTGAAATTTGAACCCACGAAGTTATGTACCAGAACTGCTCATTTATTTCCCCAAACCATCAGACTTGAAGATATTTTTAATTTATTCCCAACTCACCACTTTTGGAATTAAAGCACATGGTAGTACCCCCTGGGGAGAGAGGGTGCTAGGAGAGGACAGTCTTGGAAGGAGATCCGTGGAGGTTTGAATCCCTGCTCTGCCAAGTATCAGCAAGGTGACCTGGGGAACATTACTCAACCCCTCATGAGCCTCAGTTATGCGATCTGTGAAATGGGGGCAGTGATAACACCATCTCGTCGGGTTGCTGAAATGGTGCATTTAAATGCCCAGCACAGGGAGCCTGTCAGTGTCTGCTCTCCACCCACTTCCAACTGTGGCTGGAGATAAAAGTTTACTCCCAGTTACCTTGGTGACCAAGGGGCATATCAAACTGTCCACAGTCCTGGCTCTCGCCCCAGCCAGTGAGTAGAGAGATCCGCACACTTGGAGCTGAACGTCCAGCACAAATGCTTGTCCTGTTAGGGCTCCACAGAGGGCTTCAGAGTGTACTCAGGTGAGCTTCCCACTGGACAGCCCTTGCAGGGCCCTGTTGCCAGGACAGGGCATATTCTCCAGAGGGTCAGGGAGTAGGGTCAGACATTGTTCTGGGCACAGCCCGGCCAACTTGTCCCTTCTTCAGATCCAAGTAGGCCTTCTCTCTGCCATCAGTCCTGAAACACCAGCTCGTGAGCGGTGCCTTAACTGCCCACAGCTGCTCCTCTTCCAAGGTGGCCCAGCTCCCCTCCCTCGCCCCACTGGGGCCCTGATTTGGGGCCAGTATTTCACTATTTCGTGCCTCATTGGTCATGTCTGCTTCACATACACACTCAACAGAGGAGGTGAGTTTCTTATTTACAGACACATGTCTGAATCTACTGCAGCAAGAGCATCAAAGGCAGCTGGATATATGCATTTACTGTCGCAGGGTAAGAAGACAAAGACCAAATCCAGACAGGGAGTTTGTAAACCTGAGAGATGCATTTCCTTTGCTCCTGCTCATATTCTGTTTGTCTAGCACGGTGTCCCATCCAAGCAGCGCTCAACAACAGTTTGCACAGGTTCTCTGCACCCTGGAGAACTCGGAATGAGGGTTTGTTCAGGAAGGCAAGAGTCCCTGGAAGGTTCTGGTTATTTTGAGGGCTGTAGGGCATGAACAGTTCAGGCTGTGACTCATTCCCATGGCCACGACCACTACGAACCCAGGGCGAGGGCACTGCCCCTGCTTTTAACGGTCTCCTGCTGGGCACAACTCCTTGTCTCCTCAACAGGGGGACTCGGGGGTGCAAAAGAAATACTATATTTACATAGTGGCTAAACTTCCAGACGTGTGTATAGAAGTTTTAGAAATTAGTACTAAGAAGATTGTTGTCAAGATTTTTTTTTTTT